TATATTTATATATATGTGTGTATAGATATATTACATAAATATTTATGTATGAAATAATTTAAGAAACATCCGAGACAGCATGCTGTGCTCTTGTGTAGGGCCGGGGAGGCTGGGAAGGCAGCTGCTTGCCTCCCCCCGCTCTACCAGCTTTGATTCACAAATGGAAACAGAGTCTTGAATTAAATTAAAAAAAAACCGCACACACACACACGCACACGCACACATGACACGGTGCAGAGGCTGTAAAAGTCCAGGTGTCCCTGAAGAGATCAGATCAACTAAAGCCAAAGGAGGGGGAAATAAATAAATGAAGGGAACCCGGCGGAGGGGATCTTGCTTGTGCCGGTGCTGTCTCCGGCATTGGGTCCTCCCTGTCTGCCCAGGCCCCCGTGGGGACACAGGGACAAGGTCACAGCCCCGTTGTGCCCTGGCCAGGCTGTGGTGGGTTGGGAGAGGCTGGTGGGATGTGCATGTCCTGCTGCATTTGCCTTGGACCCGCTTTCTCCTTTGCCACGTGCTTTGCTTTCGCTCCATCCCGGGACTGAGCTTTTTGCCATCTTGGTCTTCAAGGATGAAGGGGAAAACCCAGCCCCAACTAACCCCTCTCCTCTCTCTGCAGAAAGTTCTCCTGGAGCTGGGTTTGGTCCAGCTCAATCCTTCCCACCGACAGAAGAGCTCTGCAGAAGACCTCCTTCCCACGGACTTTCAGAACAGAATGACATTTAAAAAACAACCCCCAAACCCTAGAAAAACCCAGCACCCCATAAATCACCAGTTTCTTCCAAAAACTCCTCATTCCCCATCCCACCCTTCCCAAACCTCCCAGAGGACTGACGGATCCCGGCTCCGACACGCCACGCTCCGAGCAATCGCCGCCGGCTGCGGCGAGGATGGAGGGCTGGGAAAGCAACCGAACCGAGCGTGTGAAGAAACAACCTGAAGGCTTTGGACCACCGTCCCCCCGGCCCTCTCCTCTGCGGGAAATGGAAAGCCCCTGGGGCCGCAGCGGCTGGGCTGCGGATCAGCTGGGGAGCAGGACGTGCTCCAGAAAGTAGGTGATGGAGTCCCAGTGCTTCCAGAGGAAGAAGAGGAAGAGGACGAGCAGGGCGGTGCTGAGGATGCGCATGCGGGTCTTCATGAGCGGGGTGATGAAGTTGGCGATGGTGGAGACGAAGACAAGCAGCACGGCCATCAGGGCCAGGATGACGTTGATGAACTTGCCCAGCAGCGCCCGGGCGTTGGCGTTCTCCACCCCTTCCAGCTGCACCACCTGCTGCTGCTGCTGCTGCAGCTCCAGCTTGGTCACCCGCGTCAGGCAGGACTCCACCGCCTCCTGCGAGGGACGGCACGTCAGGGCCGGCCAGCGGCTCCGGGGATGCCCCATGAGGACTTTTGGTACTCGCCCCATGCTCTGAGATCTTGCTGCTAGAAAGTTTTGCTTGCACAGCTCCAATGGGTGCACGACCTTGTGACAGTGACCACCCCAGCTGGAAAGGGGTTTGACCTCTGCAAACCCTTGGCCCACGCGATGTGCAACGCGTGCCTGTCCCATTCTGCCTGTGCTGGGGAAGATCCCGGTGCCGGGAGCACCTGCTGCAGCAGCAGAGATGACCCAAACGGGGACAGCGGGGACTGCGTGTTGGCCCACACGTGGCTTGTAACAGCCCAGCGCTGTAGCAACTCATCCGGAGCCTCGCCCTGCCTCGAGCACCCAGGGACTTTAGCACAGTGGGGACTCGCTGGGGCACAGACAGGGATTTTGAGGACATGGCTTAATTACCTGCTTCTTGCTGCGACAGCATCGCTGTGAGGACCTCATCTGGGGGGTGCTAGAAAAAGGGATCCCCCTTGCCCCCCCCTTTCCCAGCCCAGGGTCCCTGCCTTGCCCCGTGGATGGAGGGTGCAGCGGGGGGCTGAGCCCTCACACTCGCCTACCTGGATGTCCCGTGCCCTCTCGTAGGACTGGTAGGCCACCTTCTCCTCCATGCTGGCCAGCTCCTGCTTCAGGTTGGTCATTTCGTTCTGGTGCAGCTCGGTGAGGTCATTCAGCTGCTCCTCCAGACGCTCGTACCTGCGCACGGGGGGTGGAAGGGCACTGGGGTGGGCAGGTCCCCCCGTGGACCCCCGGCTCCCCTTCCCCTGACGCTGGGGAGACCGCTCGGCCCCTCCAACCCACCCCACTCCTGGCTGTAGCTGGTTACGGCTGCCGAAGGGAAAGCATTCCATGATCCTCCACGGGAGTGGTGCTGCCGGGGGGTCTGGCAGCAGGGACTGCAGCTCCCCATGTCGCTGGCATGCAGAGCTTAGCTGGACAAGCCCAGGATGGTGGCTCCGTGGTCCCCAAAAAGCCACCCGGGGTGACGCATGCTGCCACCCTGGCACCCCCCCCATCCCTACCTGTACCGCTCCTCTTGCAAGCACTGTGTCATGTAGGTGTAATCCCGCTGCAGCTGGGCCTTGAGGTCCTCCATGGCATCCTCCAGGTGCGACTGGCTGTCCTTGATCTCCCGGAGCTCCTCCAGGATGGTGTCGAAGTTATTGTGGTGGCTGTCCAGCGTGTTGGACTTGGGGCTCCCCAAGCCGCCGGGTCCTGCCCCTGAGTTGCTGCCACCAGCCGAGCCGGAGGTGGCACTGGAGCACTCGTCGTCACTGCCGTACTTGGGGCTGGAGACCAGGGTGGCACTGCCACTGAGAGCCCGCGAAGCCTCCTCCGGGTGCCCGTCGTCCAGCGTGTCCTTCAGGTGGGCGATGTTGTCCGCGCTGCCGAACTTGTTCCGGATGAGGCTGGGGGGGCCCCTGAGTTGCTGCCACCAGCCGAGCCGGAGGTGGCACTGGAGCACTCGTCGTCACTGCCGTACTTGGGGCTGGAGACCAGGGTGGCACTGCCACTGAGAGCCCGCGAAGCCTCCTCCGGGTGCCCGTCGTCCAGCGTGTCCTTCAGGTGGGCGATGTTGTCCGCGCTGCCGAACTTGTTCCGGATGAGGCTGGGGGGACCGCAGAGACCCTGGTGCATGTCCCGGAAGACATCCTTGGGCTGCCGGGAAGGGCCATTCTGCTCGATCTCCTTCAGCTTCTTGTGGTAGTGCTCCAGCTTCTTGTGCAGCTGCGCGATGGTCTGCGCCGACTTCTGGTTCTTCTTCTCGAAAACCTGCTTGATACGGGAGGCTTGCTGCTTGTCCGCGTTGTTGGCCAGCTTCAGGTACTCGGCCACGTTGTCATCCCGAGCCTCCTGCTCGATCTTGATCTGCTCGGTGATCT